ACCTTCAAGTGGCAGGGGACTTTGTGAGCAATACTTGGTCGCTGACATATCACTTTAAAAGAAAAACATCTTAAAGCTTTAAGGTTAAAACAATATGTTCATAAATGTATCCTCACATTTAATTCACAGAAGTGATTTGTAAACTAGATTTTAGGGGAAAAAAACTGAGGTTAAAACTGCTTTTATTACCATGTTTTTACTCGTACTGTTCCACCTCCACCAGTGTAAGGCCCACGGTGGAAACACAATGCAAAGCAAGACAAATAAAATTTTGGGAGCCAGCTACATAAACAATATCTGCACACCAAAAAACTATGTACACTGTTTTACACAATTTAAGGAAAATCTGCTAGAATGTGCATGTTACAGACAGTACTTGTTATTTACATACATTTGAGGTGTAAAATTAAAATAAGGCTTTGCATAATGAACCAAATGGATATAGAAGTATATATCTGTGGCACCTGTAAACCATCATTATAGTTCTATCTTAGTGATACCAAAAATACCAAAAAGAAAAATCAATGATTAAATAGTCGGGTACTTTTAAAAACAGACTTTTGTAATTTGACTACTTTGCAATTGAAAATAAAACTTAAAGAAAGAGAAGACAGGCAAAGAAGGCAGTAAAAAATGCCCTAACATAAAGAAAAATGATTTTTCTCGCTCATAAACAGTGATTTGAAAGAAGTTAAGACGTTATTACTGTCTGATGAAAATATGTTGTGGTGTAACTTTAACAAAATCAGAGACATTCTAGAAAGACACTTAAAAAATGATTTAGCACAAAATTATGTCTCTCCTCTCATGAGGCGTGATCAAAAAGTTTTGGGAACGAGCCCATAAAAGTCAAAAACCATACATAACTCTAATATGACCAATGATCCATGTCAACACCATCTCGTCGTACATCTCTCACTTTAGAAACGTTTGCTTTTTTTTTATTGCTTCCTGGAAGTCCAATTACACTCTATTTCATTGTGCACTCTGCAACCTCATCATGGACCTCTTGGAAAGGACACACAGCAAAGAAAGAAATTTTATATAAACACGCCTGACATCTGGTGATAAGAGCTGGATATCTAGTCAAACGACAAAAGGAACACACTGGACCTGGCGTGTAGCCACAAACATGTGCTGTGTAGCATTTTGTTTTCAACATTCATCAGGTAGTACATGAATTTGTCTCCCAGAATCAGATTATAATCATATACCTTCTACTGTGAGGTCCTCACATGTCTAAGACAGAACATCCAGCAGTAACGATCTCAACCAAAGGGAAACACACGGTGCTGACTAAAGTATGATTTTTGGCCGCATCAACAGATGTGTTGCCATAGTTGCCAGATTCACTTCTCTGTGAACCTCAATACCATGAAAATCAAGTTAAATGTTGGCTTTTTTTTTACATACTAGAGGAGATCCAGCACTCCTCAAAAAGGAGAAGGTGAAAAGGGAAACTGCACAAATTGTTTTTTAATATTTTATCTTTTTAGGCCCAGGCACATCTGAGCGTAAGAGCTGTGAGTCAGCTTCCGATGATGATTTAGGACCTAAAAAGGGAGCTACTTTAACAACCTCCAACAAAGCACGGGAATTTTGCTGGGTGAGGACACACTTTTTCCCCCACTTGAGGAAAAACCACACCGTTGACTACAAACAGGCTTTGAAGGGGCAGATACTATCCGCTGGTGACGTGCAACTGAAATATGTAAACAAATTACCCCATCGAGTGCTGCCGGAGCGCTCGCTAGTGGCACTCCATGTGACAGGAAGAGCCAAGAGTGGATGGAAATAACTGATATGGTTACGTAGTGATATAAATTTTTCAGTGGTATTATGTGACATTATTGTGCAGGCTTCCTACAAGTTACAAGGTTAAGTTATTTTAGTTATTGTTAACTTAAAATCACTAAAGTTGTTATTTTATGCATTTAATTCAAATTTCCAGGGAAAATTCTTCTAATTCTATGTTTCGTCGCTGGATATAATCTTGTCTCATTACTATTGCAATATAATGCCATAGCGGCTGGGATCTTGTTTCAATAGATTCACATTTCAAATTAGGAAGTCTGTCATCAGTGACATTAGCTCAGTGGAAAAGAAACATGGAAAAACGTCCTTGATTTGCTTACACTTATTGTAAGCACCAATTAAACAATATTCATTATCTGCTTCTTATTGTTGTTAGAAACATGCGCCTAAAAAGGTATAAATATATATCTGACTGTGGTGTCTCTTAGGAGTTGCGCTGTCTGAAGCTGCCTTTTTTAAGGGTATTCATGATGGAACAAGACTAATAACAATGGCGCGTTATTGAGAGCATATCTGCTAGTTCAATCATGACTGTAAAAAAAGCTTCCTACTATTGTGAATAGATGTATTGTAGAAAGACTAAAGGCTGTTTTTGATTTTTCTGACAGAACCCGCTAAAGTCACCAAACACAGGATATAGATGAGTCTCAACTTTGCAAAATTCCACTTGATGACAAAAAACAGCCACTGATGTGTGCTACATCCTTTTTTTTTTTTTTTACACAAGGAGTATCATAATGTAAAAATACAAAATAAAAAAACATATACGGAGAAAGAAGGTCAAAATGTGAAGCATCAACTGGAATCTCCTCTATCTGCTCCATTATTTTCTGCACTGCCACAGTTATAAAACGGTCTTTTATCAGAGATTTAAAAAAAAAGGGAAGCTGTGTTTACATCATTATCTGTTTTGTTAAAGCTTGTTGGCCGTGGGTTTAAGCCCTGACGAGCCCCATTTCATTAATGGAACTGTTATACACGATGGTGCAAAAAGCACTGATGCTGAAGTTAGCGCTAATAAACTGCATAATGCAGTTTTGCGTGCGATGAAGGAGCATGATAGCATGCAAGTGTGATCTGACAATGATTCTAATGTTCTGTTTTGAGATTTGAAAGCACAATTTGAATATCTTTAGTCTGACTCTAGTTGCACACTCATGTCTGTAGTTCTGATCCAGAGCATCTTGACTTGTGTCTGCATTGGGGTTGAACTTTAAATCGGTTTTCCCAAGGCGATAGACATTTTATATTGAAAACCACATGTTGCTGCAAACAGAAAAACAACCTCCTGTCTTTGCAACTGAAAGACAGAAACCAGTACCCTAGTCAGCAATGCAGAACTGTTATGAACTGAACTGTTATGTGAAAATAAATAACGTGTTTGACATTACCAGTGAACCCTGAGTGTTTTTATCTGTCTCTGTATTTTATTTTTTTTAATCTGCATCTGACACAGAAACGGTCAGGTCTTTAAATCATTAATTATTACTTATGTGCAATATAAAACAGACACAAACATCCCTGATAGCTCTTCACTACACACTCACTCACACATTGACAACTAACGGGCAATCCAGGCTTTAATTCACCTGACTGGCATGTGTCCACGCAGCAGATGGAGAGCACTTAAGCTGTTTGTCTCTTCTAGTCACAAAGAAAAACTCTTTGCTTTAGTGTTCACTGGAAGAGAGGCCAGGATGCTGTGATGATAGCATGTGGGAACTAAAGTTTATTTGAATTATTTTGATTATTAATTTGTTAATTTGCAATCAGTGTCCCGTTTTTACTTTTTAGCTGAAAGCAGTATTGCCCAGTAATTTTAAATTAAATTCCTATCAGCAAAAAGCCTAAAAACTAACTGCAGGCACACAGGGAGGCAACAGTTCTTTGCTTTTGTTGAGTTGTTCGCTTCTAATTTTTAAAATGAATGTTTTATTGAAAGATTACATAATAATTGTGAGATTTTTGACTCAAAAAAACAAAAACAGTATAAAGTCTTGACTTTGCAAATTTCCACTTCTATTCAAATATTTTTCCCAAAAATATTTAAGGTCAGTTCTTATAAATAATAATAATGAAAAGCTGACAAATGCTGGAGCTGAGGCCTTAATCCCAAAGCCTAATTCACTGATATTACAACCTACGCATGTAACTATTCACTTCTCCATCATTTTCAGCAACACACAAGGTGCATTCAACTTTTCGGTGCTCTGTTTGAGGCCTAGTGCAATGTGACTATCAGGCTTCTAACAGCACACAACACAATGAGGTTAAAAACAACTACTGGAAATAGCACAACTGAGACAAACTGGACATATATTTTTAGTTCTCTTATCATTTCTAACAAACCTCGAAGGACACAAAACAATGTGTGTGAACTGATGGCTTGGCATCCACTAAAGAATAGCACTGGCAACAATAATGCTGGCATTTGTCTACACTGCCTACACTTAAATTAAGGCGACGGGCGGCGTAAGCTGTTTGCTCCCAACATATTGCATGCAACCTGATAGTCTTCATTTTGTACGCATATCACTCCATGTGGGTGTATCAGTTTTCAGAAGTGCTGCAAAGTGGAAAGGAGCACCGCAGGCTCTGCTGTGGGATTGTGGACACTGAAAGATGCCAGTGCGCGCTCGCCATCATTTTGTGTTGTTGACTGTTTGTCATGTGGGACTGAGCCCACATCACTTGCTTTGTTGCTGGCTGTGCTGTTATGCTGCCAGGAGGATGTTGACGTGCACTTGCATTTCATGGCTTGTGTGCCACACGAGCTCTTTGGTGAGGACATTCCCACGAAAATGTGGAGAGACAGCACTGCCTAAGTTTTGTATCCGAGTGCACTTCAAACCAATGGTAGCATTGTGTTTCAGGGTTAAAATCGGGGTTTTGGCCATTTGCTTGACATTATCTATCACAGATTATTAGCATTAATATAAGAATATTATATACATATTAAAAGCAAACTGCAGCAACCATATTGAGAATAATTTGGAAAACAAATTCTACCAAAGTGACTTTTGTAAATGCTCTGTGTGGGCTTTAGTGATACAGTATTGTGCTTTCAACTTGTGCACATGTGCACTCAGAGTAGCTGTGGATGAACAGTGGGCCTACTTTTGCAACAACAACAACAACAACAGCAGCAGCAGCAACAGACGTGGTCCTGCAGGGGGGAGACCTACCTGCTCTCTGGATATACAGGGCAACGAAGGTCTGCGAGGCATTTTACAACTGCCATAATAGCTGGTCGACGTCTCCCCCAGCGACACGCAACTGGACCTTCTCCTAGGTCTGATCACAGGGACCTTTTCCTCCGCGCTGGAAATCCCACTCGGTGCTTCCCTCGACGGGTAGTAGCGGTCAAAGCAGAGCCCCAACAGGGAGCCAGAAACCCCCGCAAAGCAGGCAAAGAGCGGTCTGAGCAGTGCGGGCAGACCGCTCAAACTTGTGAAAGAAACAAGCCACACAACGCTGGCAAAAACCAGTATGAGAACACTGTGTTTGAGTTTTAGCGTTGGGATCAGCGTGAGCAGACCCACACATCCCAACACGAATAACAACCTGCCCACCATTTGCATCTGGTGCTGGTCCTCTCCCCATTGTAAAAACCGCAAGACCAAAAAATCCCCGAGGTAACACGATGCTGGCAGTGACACCAGCCAGCATTTGGTGCTCTCCTTCTTTTTCCTCCTCAGGTAAAGTGTCAGGAAGAAGAAAGCACATCCTATGCTGAATAAAGGACTGATGGACTGGGAGAAGCCCGACAAAAAAGTCCGCAAATCCCAAAGCGAGTCACTTTGCAAGCTCCTGGAAATTAGAAAGGAGACCGCGAAAATCACAAAAGCGCCCACGTATAGGGCAGAGACCTTTAACAGTTTGGAGCTGAGAATGTCTTCGTTGCAAAACCTGCACACGCTAAACAAAAATCCCCTCTGATGGTCCTGTTTCAGGGGGGTGACGCAGCTCTTCACATAGCCGTTCCTGAAGCCTTCTGAGCTGTTTACACTTCCAGCTCCGTCGTGGTGCCTTGTTTTACTGTGCAAAACCTCTCCTTCCTCCCGTGCAGCCATGGCTCGACTGTGGCTCCTCGTATCCACGCGAAAGTGCCCCTCTCCTGCTATTCACGCCGTATTAACGCTCAACTACATGACAGCAAACGCACTCCATGGTCACTCAAACGTGCTCCAGCACTTGGACTAAAGAAAGAAGGTGAGATGTTGTTTTTACCGAAATGGGGCTCTCTGTCGCCGGCTATAGGCCACAACTCACACTGCATGGCTTATTTTTGCGATGTGGAGCGCTGAGCCCACAGACCGAACCAATCCTGAGCCGCACGCATAGACTTTATAACCCAATATTAGCAGTGTACGATTAGACAGAAGAAGCTCATTAGAATATAATATAGCGAGGAAAACTGTTACATTTCCATCGCAGGATGTCCCACCATGCAGTTTACTTGTTTTGTCTGCATCCCTTGTGTGCACGGGAAGTCTTTGTTAGTTCACAATTCATCTTATATGTGTGCAAAGGCTTCATGGAAGTCTTCGCTTCATAAATAAACCCACTAACGTAGAGTTTCTTGTAGTGTTGACTCTTTCTCCTCTCTCGCTTATTATTAGATACATATAAATGTAATTTAATTTAAATAAAATGATACTGCACGACGCCGAAATTGTTTTGGTCTTCTGGTTAAAATGTCATCGCTGCTTTTCGCAGTCGCTGGATCCATCGTCTTGCACTGTGATCGTTTGGTTTGCCTGTCCTTAGCTCAGTCGATTGTCGATTTTATCGATCTGATCAGGCTAAACCAAACAACAGTGAATATCACCCATTATCCACGGATGTAATGTAGACATATACAAAATTATACCGCTAAAAACATTTAAGGGGGCACTCGGACCATTTTTAACATTTATTATGTAATTATTTATTTTATTTTTACAAATTGCACAGCGTTTGTTAAAACATTTTTTTTATCTTGAACATTTAAATCATTATGATTTATGTGTGATTTAAGTACTCCCTTATTTATTTATTTTTTTATTTTTTTATTTATTTTTTTTGTTTAGCTGTGGATACATCCACTCTCAATCAAGCGTTTGCTGTGGAGGAATTTTGGCTCACTTTTATTTGCAGGATTGTTATAATTCAGCCACACTGGAGGGTTTTCAAATATGAATGGTCTGTTTAAGGTCATGCCAAAGCATCCTGATTAGATTGCAGTCTAGACTTTGACCTAGTCACTCCTAAAGAAAAAAAATCCCCAAAGTGCTGGGGATCATCGAGATGTTTTTTTGGGAAGTGTGAGACAAGCCTTTGTGCTCTTTTTGCTCAACGGTGGTTTTCCCCTTGGAGCTCTCCCACGGATGTCATTTTTGCACAACCTCTTTCTTACTTTCTTACTCTGACCTTAACTGAGGCAAGTGAGGCCTGCAGTTCTTTAGATGTTGTTCTGGGTTCTTTGACATTGGTCAGTGTTCCAGACTGATATCAGAACAAGGGCAAATAATTTTTTCACCATAATTTTGCACAGTAAATTTCTCCTTTACTGCATGGTGAATAAAGTCAAAACAGGTTAAAATCCTAACTGCAAATTCCAAAGTGCAGCTTATACAAGTGTACTTTATTTCACTGTATATATTTTAAATAGTGCCTGATTTAAACTACAAGTGATGAGATATTCATATATAGATTCTTAAAATTTACAAAAATCTGCTGAATGTAGATTTTTTAAAAATGTTATTTTTATGTTATTTTTATGTTATTACAATTGTAAGTCTCACTAGGGACAATGATTGTTGGTATTTATAAAAGATTAGGTCTTAAAAACCTTTCACCTTTTAATTCAACTGTTTTAGCATTTGTTACAAAACCAAACTGATGGTTGTTTTTTGTAGCCAGCTTGTGAGCTTTGTTGTTTCTTTTTAGCTGACGATAGGCTTAGACATCTCTTTAAGTTAAAAAAAAAAAAAAGACTTCCTGGTTCGAGCGAGCTGTGGTTAAATTACTATAACTGTGTAGAGAATACCTGCACTGAACTGCACAGAAGGCATTTCCCCATTTTCATTAATATGTCAAATGTGCAAAGAATGGCAGAAACCAAGAAATTGGCCTTTAAAAAACTCCTTTACACTGCTAAGCATTGCTGAAGTCCCATGAATTAAACTGACAGTCTCAGGTTACCTTAATTATGCAGAAGAAAGTATGTTGACGCCATAACAGACTATTCTTAGAGCTGCTATTTCTGTCATTTTTCCACCGACACAGTAGAAAATCACATTTCATTAATAATATTAATAATGACTGCAGTTTCCTTTAGTCAGTCACAGAGCCCTTAAAGTGTTTTCCCTTAAAATGAAGACATTTGTAATGTAGCCCTGATTGGTTACATCTTTGTCTCTGCAGTGGAGCTCAGTGGAAGGGCAAGGTGCAGACAGAGTTTTTTAATTTAATAAGACTCACTGTGCTTTGCATGAAAATACACACAAGCAAAATGAATGAAAGTCAGCGCTTATACTGGCAACTACAATTATGTGAAATATAAGTAACAATGATCTTTTATATTCCTTCTTAAGCTAATCTGAATGGTCTGGCACAATACGACGTTCCTGCCCCAAAAGTAAGCATGCCCATTGAACAGGATATGTGTTAAATGCCAATCCTATGATTACTTATAATTTCCAAAAGACTCATCATCCATCTGTATGAAGCAAACATGTATTTTGTTCCCTGGCTCGCAGGGAATAGTGTGTGATAAGTGTACTTTGCTCTTAACTTTAGCCATAAATCTTCTTTATCAGCTTCAGTTTGAATTAGCGCAATAAACAGGTCCGTGGAAGTGGGAATTAATCAGTGTTGGGATAAATTTTGCATACTGTGGCGTCTACAACAGATAGTTTGCAAAACAGCGTTGTGAAAGCCCGATATGACAATTTAATTCAATTCAATTTTATTCATATAGTGCTAAATCACAACAATAGTTGTCTCAAGGCGTTTTATATTGTAAGGTAAAGGGCTTAGACAATACAGAGAAAACAGAGAAAACTCCAACAATCAGATGACCGCCTATGAGCAAGTGCTTTGGCAACAGTGGGAAGGAAAAACTCCCTTTTAAATGAAAGAAATCTCCAGCAGAACCAGGCTGAAGGATAGGCAGCCATCTGCCATGCTGGTTGGGGGTGAGGGGAGGAAGACAGCATAAAGACATGCTGTGGAAGAGAGCCAGAGATAAATAATAAGCGGTGTATAAACACATAGAACCTGACACCTCAAAAAGTAACAATAACAGTGCCACATTACTGGGAGCATGTGCTTTTACTGGGCATTATTCTGCCATAAACCTACTGACCAAATAGCTGCTGTTTAACAGACTTCTAATGGGACTTGTCTATTCACCATCTGTGCGTATAAAGTCACTTTCGGTCATGGAAATTATTAATAATTAAATAATTAAGTATTCAGATTTTTAAAAATACATCCTAGAAGTCTCTTTGCTTTGGTGCTGTTGGCCATTGATTGATGCATGACTGAAAAGTGATAATAATGGGTGGATGGAAGATTTTAAGGCACTCATATGATTCACTCAAGTCTCTGCCCATCCAATGTGTTACTAAAGCAAACACTAAAACCTTCCACTGGAGGGTGCTGCATACTGTTATTGTTAAGGTACTAGAACTCGTGTTTTAATTCGGGGTCCATCCATACACGCATTATCTATGCCTGAGCAGCTCTTGTAAGTGTAGTGTGTAAGTGGTTTATCGAGATGAGATTAGGCAGACTTCAGCAGGTAGGTATTACTATTAAAAAACACATATGTTTTTGAAAGGAGACCTGTAGATACCCAAAGTCTCAATTAGCATGTCTATCAAAGCCATCGTCATCACTTTTTCTTTTTTTCCTTTTTTTTTTTAAACCAAATTTTTAGTTAGCTTTCCAAGTTGACAAAATAATTGTAATTTAAAAAAATCTAAACTATAGTTTTCATTTTTTAAATTTCGTTGACAAATCTACTGTCAAAAAATATTTATCCCCAAAATGCTAACTTTAATAATTTGATTTTAAGTATGTGTTCCGCGTAATTTCTTACATAACTGTAAAATGTAAAATGTAAAATTTAATGGAATATGGTCTAATTAAATGTACTTGATTGGTATGCATTCAGTTTATACCCATTACTTTTTTCTTAAAGATTCATTATTTGGATACATAAACTGTTGATTTTATATATTTCATTTGCATTTCACTCAACATTATTGCTTCACGTTTATGAGGGCAAGAATTATTTATTCATTGTGTTGTTTTAGTTTAATTTTAGTTAACTATAATGCCTGACTTACTTACAAAACAGCTTAAAAAAGTAAAAGTATCTGAACCATAGAAACAAGGTGACAGACAACATACATAACAATATATTCATTTTAAGTTGGCAGTAAAAGATTAACGGCCTTTCTCGTGTTATTTTTAAGCAGAAAGAGAGGACCAGATTGTTAGATTTTCTTTTTGTTTACTGATAGATTTTCTTTTTTATTTATTTTATTTTATTGCGTTTGTGTTGCACAGGCGTTTGGTTTGAGCCTTCTGGTGCACGGTAGCAGTGATGTGGCTCTCGGTAAAGTAATCTTCCACGTCACTAGGAAGTAGTGCAGAGCCGAGGGAGTGAGAGCTCGCCTGCGGGAGCTTTTGAGAAATTTTACAGATGTAAATATCTCAAACTGCACATCGAAGGTCACCTGGGAGGATAATAGTCCTGCAGATAGGTAGGTTTTGGGACTTATTTTTAACCAACATGAATGACATTTGTTTCGCTGTCTGGTGGTAACTCATAAGCTCGTTAGCTAACGTTACTGTCCTCCATTTCATTGCTAACCGAAGCAAAAGCTAAACTCCTGTCAGCTAATTCTTGATAGTCAGCAGTTGGTTCTGTGTTTTAACATAGAAAAAAACAGCTTTGGGGACAACTAACTAATAAAAATGAGCAAAACCTTGCTATTTTAGCATTTTTGTCTTTACGCATGTAACGCCATTTAGCCTGTTAGAAAGCGTATTAGCTGCGTGTCACTATTTTTTGACT